CACAAGCACTGAATATTCTATATTTCACACCATAATTTATATATTTTCTAAATTAAATTACATTTTTTCAACCACTTGTGGAAATAACCACAGAAATTCACACACATTTGCGGCTTTTCTTCTGTTTTGCTGGCATTTTCCGCATTCGAGGCGAAAATCAAAATACTGCCGCGGACAGAGTCAAAAGGGAGACGAACTCCTCATCTCAACCTTTCAGATACGGTCAAAATCGGGCCGGCACATTTTCAAAGTAACGAGTTGTCGCTTCTTATACATTTACGTTCTTTGGAAACTGGCTCTGTTGGAATAAAACAGCGAAATACACGATAAGACGGTCTGCGTAGCGCGGTGAAAGTACTGCGCAGACTTAGAGTACAACCCCACAACGAGCTTTTCAGGCTTTCTGCTACACAATTCAGCTATTACTGAAAGCCTAAAAAGCGCCAAACACCTGAAAAGCTAGTTGTGGAGTTGCACTCTTATGAAGCTGAACTCATTATCTAGACAACACCACTCTGTGACTGCCAAAATGTACCAATTTAAAAAACTGTGCGATCTCTGCCTAACTGCCGTCCCTAAATTGGAGCGCTAAGCGTTGCGTTATCCATTGTCGACGAGTGTCAGCGCGCGCTATCCCCAAATCAACGCGTCGTAATTTTTGACGTTTTCTCAGATCCTCTCGTTTTTATTCTCGTTTCCTCTTTCACTTTTTTGTCCTTTCTCTTTCTTTCCGTCTTCCGCATCCAACTTCAACACGTAACGCCCTGTCAAAAATGAAAATTCCATTTGCTCGGCGTTAGCGCCGCGTTATTGTGGGATGCTTCATACAAATTGTATGGGCATGAGGATTTTTGACAGTTGTTTGGCGCTTGACGCGCCAATTTAGGGATGGCAGTAAGGTCAGCTCTAAAGATTGTTACCAGATCAACCAAATAATAAACACCTTGTGGTTAAGAACGTAAAATAGCAATTTACGTTCTCAGTAAAAAAAGAAAATGGGAAAAAGTTGAAAAGAGAATATACTGACATTACAGTTGTCAATTTTGTAAATGCATACATCTTTTACAATTTGCATATTTTCTATAAAATTATTCTTGTATAAAATTGTTGAAAGGTAATTTTCCTGAAACCTCTTATTAAAGAAAGCAATAGGAAATCAAGACAAAAGTAGTGTTATTTGATAAATAAAAAGAAATGAGTACCAGTGGCGATTCGCAACCCTATTTGAACGATTTTATGATGCGAGACGATGAGGATGTTATCTCCGGCGGTAAATTTCAAGCGACAATACAAAATTCGTGTTTTACTAATAACTGTAGCATATTCCAATATATAATCTCTCCCAATTGCAGATGATGAATCGGATAATAAGCATAGCGGCGGCAGTTATATGCTCCGCGAACAGGATCGTTTCCTGCCTATTTGCAACATCATCAAGATCATGAAAGTACCAGTGCCGGAAAATGGCAAAATTGCCAAAGATGCACGCGAGTGCATACAGGAGTGCGTTTCTGAGTTTATTTCATTTATAACTTCAGAGGCAATAGAGCGTAGCATAGCGGAAAATCGAAAGACGGTGAATGGGGACGATTTACTTTATGCATTTGCCAATTTAGGTTTCGACAATTACGTAGAACCCCTGTCTATGTATTTACACAAATTTCGTGAGGTAAGCCGATGTGTTTTTAAATAGTATGCGGTCTAATATTTATTTAGTTTACTGTTTAGTCCACAAAATCGGATCGTAATTTATTTAATGAGCCCAATATGCTGCAAGACGATTCATCTACCGAATTTCGTAAGACCGAACTGCCGTAAAATATGATTACCTACCTATATCTATTTGTTTAATTTGTTACATTGGGTTAATAAAATATCAATATACTGTTAGCGGGACCACCACACATGAATACACAGTATATAAAAAACACGCATGTACTCACCATCTAGCACAACACATTCCCCTTTAATGGAATTGGCGAAAAATTTCAACAACAACGCACCTAACATTTACCAAAGCATCATTTACACCAACGAAAATTCCATATAATTACCATTTCCACAAAACTCTACTTCTAAATTGCGAATTTTTCTTAAATTAAGTTACTATAAAGAATATCCCGTATTTCAATGTAAGCCAAATAAAAATGTGTGTAAAACTCATTTCCATTGTAAGTTTAATGTACAAAAAGACAAAATCTCTACAGCATCAGTTGCGGACAACAGTAACTCTACAATAATAACAAAAGCGGTAAACACCACAACCGGAACATTGATGAAAAATTCAAGTGCAGTCATCAACGCTAGAACGACTTCAATTGGCACTGCAAGCACATACTCGAATGTAAAACTGTACGAGATAATCGACACCAACCAACAGCAACCNAACATTGATGAAAAATTCAAGTGCAGTCATCAACGCTAGAACGACTTCAACTGGCACTGCAAGCACATACTCGAATGTAAAACTGTACGAGATAATCGACACCAACCAACAGCAACCGCAGCAGCAGCAGCAGCAGCAGCAACAGCGCCCACAAAATGGTATACACAACTTATTACCCACCCATGGCATCACCATAACACCAACATCTGTATCAACATCAACCATACCCGTTAACCTAATGAGCAACGGTTGCACCCAAACAGTCAATGGCGTCAGCACTCTAAGCACAACATCAGCAACTGTACGTCGTTCAGCGCGACTACAAACGCGCACTCAACAACTGCCGGTAGTTACGACTGTGGCGAATGAAATGCCAGGTAGCATTATAAATTCAGATCAAGTGATATTCTTTGATGCTGATGAATTGCGCCAACACGTTTTGCAACAACAGCAGCAACAACTCAACAATAGTGGCGGCAATAGTTACGTGCATATGTAAGGAGTGATCGGAAAGTTTATTACTTGACGCGATCTTCTACAAAGGGTGAATTTTTTTGATGCAACGAATTTATTGCCTCAATTGCATTCCCAAGTTGAGGAAAATTATTGAAGTAGAAAAAACACTTTATTTCGCATGCAGTTTAACAAGTAAAAAACTTTATAAAAAATCAAAAGCACGGGGATTGGGATATAAACTTTTTCCAAAACTCTACAGCACCTAAAAGTGAATGATGTTAAAAACTTCAAATTTATAGCACTTATTTGTAATTGAACTGTAATTGCGAACTGTTATCATTTTATTGTAATAAAATTTGCTATATACATATTTTGCAAAATATCCACTTCCAAAAGATTTTGTATTTTCTCAATCAGTACTGTCATATATGTGTTTTATAATTTTTATAACTTCAACAGTTTACTTTTTATGTACACTTGACTGGGTCGCCCCCACGCGAAATAAACCTTACGTCGCCCTTCTTAACAATTTCAACAACTATCCTTGATGCGACTACTACAATAACAACAACAAGTTTTCTTTATAATTTTTTCGTGGTCCAGTCTAGTCTAGACACTTCCATGATGGTGTCCATCATTAGCCCCCAACAAACTTTTATCTGATATGTCGTTAAGTAAATTCACAAGTTATTTATAGAAAAAATATTTATTAACCAATATGCATATATGTATGTATGTATTTGTAGGTATATACATATATATGTGTATATAAAACGCACGCAACTAAACTACTTACGTCTACAGTTTGAGTAATAGTTATACAATTTATATATAGTTTTACAAAATGTTAGCCTAACCGACTATGATTCAGAAAAAAAAGATAATATTTAATTGGCTTACAGAAATAGTTTCAAGCATTAACCTTCCCTTCATACATAATTATCATACAATTTCAGAATATTAACACAATTCAGCTGAACCCTAACCTAGTAATAAGTAAAAAAAAAAACTTTGTTACCAATTGGTAACAACTTAAATTTAATATTAAAGCAATCGCTATTTATTTTGAATTTCTGTCAATACCTCAGTTATGTGTGCTTCTCCACCAGTACCTTGAATTTCTGTCAATATTTGCGTTATGGGTGCTTCTCCAGCAGTATTTTGAATTTCTGTCAAAACTTCCGTTATGGGCGCTTCTCCAGCAATATTCACGCCACTAACATCCTTGACCTCCTCGTCATCATCACCATCTACCGGCTGTGGTTCGAATACCACACGCCCACGTATGACACGTACGCGCGGTCCAATCGCACGCGAATTAAGTTCAAATTGGCCACAAGTAGCTGGACGCGTTGAACGATGCATACTCAATCCGCTAATACAGGAGAATTGTTTGTTGCAGCCATAACATTTGTAACGTTTCATGCCAATGTGACGCGATAGATGTGATATAAGCGTTTCACGGTGTGTAAAACTTTGTGAGCATATCTAAAAGAAAAAAATATGGTGTGAAGAATTTATTAAAAAGAATATGTATAGTTTCCACATTCTAAGTATATGTACTCACTTCACAAACAAATGGGCGTTCGCCGGTATGCGTACGATGATGTACAGTGACTTGCCCGCGTGTGCGAAACCGTTTTTCGCAGTAGTTGCACTTGTGTGGCAGCACGCCCGTGTGTATGGTACGATGACAATTTAGTGTGCTGTTTGAAAAGAAACATTTCTGGCATATATCACATTGGTGCTGTGGATTGCGCCCGCAATTGTTACTCAAATGCTCTTTAACCATTGATTGCGTCGAATAGCGTCGACCACACTTTGGACAGATGTAGCCTTCAGGCACCTTCTTGGGTTTACTACGAGCATTATTTCTGGTTATGTGTGGAGAGTGTGGCCGTTTTCGTAGTTCTGTAGTAAGTAAATGATTATTTTAGTGGTGTTTATGATGTCAAAAAAGTAGGCACACAATGATGGTGTTTATAATACCATTGAAAATTCCGAGCTTCATAAAAAAACTTTTAAGCTGCTACAATCTTAAGAGTTTTTCCTCTTAAAAATAAAATTTTGTTACTAGTTACCTCCACTGCCATCCTCGGAATTTGTATTTTGCATGGTCGCCGTACTATTGCTGCCCATTGAATTGTCACTGAAATTCGCCGCATACACTGAATTCTCATTTTGTAGCACCAACATTTCCTCGTCTAATTCCTTTTTTATTTCAATAATTTCCATTTTTGCTGGTTCTTGCACTACTGCTTCTTCTAACTTTGAGTCAATTGGTTCACTGGTATTTATTTCTTCACGCACAATTGCTTCGTTCAATAATTCAGTCAAACTTAACTCCTTATTTGTTTTTGTAACAGATTCAAGTTTAGCGGCGGCAACCGTTTTATCTAAGGATGGCACTTCGACCTCCTTCTTTTGAAAGTAGCGATTAGGTGTTTCGAATTTTGGGATAGCTTCTTCGGCGATTGCCGCAGTTTTAGGTGGCGAGTTAGATTTCACCAACTGTATTAAACGGAGTTGTGTCGTTGGCATCATTTTAACAATTTTAAAATTTGATGGCAATTTTATCATCTTTGGTGGCGAATCAAACTTTATAGGAACTGTTTCAGAATTTGTGGTATTTATATTAACTTTAGATGGTGACTGAGGTGAAGTTTCGGGCGTAGTGGTATGGCTGTTGAATTCACTGACTTTGTTTATTATTTGAAACATTTTTGGTACGCTTTTCAATGAGAATTTCGAGGTAATACGCTGTGCAAGTGCATGCCCTAATGTGCCGGGACCAGTTTGTTTTGCTGGTGCTAAAGTTGCTGGCTCGCTTTCGACTGGCAAAACACTCAGTGGTTGCTTACGTAGGCGCAGTTTTACTGGAGGCGCAGCCAAATCATTTTTACTCAACGTTGGAGTAGGTTGTACTACTTCATAATTTTCAAGGGGTTTTGTATTATTAGCCACTATAGGGAAATCTGGCAAAATTGTTTCATAATCTACAGGCTCTTGCTTGATTTCAATTGTTTGAAGTGTCTTTTGGGTAGGTATGTGTGGGGTGTTGATATTATTATTGGGCAATATTGGTTTTAAACGCAATTTCAAACCGGGGGGCGCCGTTTTGGAAGCTGAGGAAATTAAACAGTCCGAAAATTATTGGTATTCTCATTCTTGCGGATAGTTTTCAAGTACTACTTACCACATTTAATTTTGTATGAATTGTGTTTTGTCACTTTTTGTTTTTCTTTTAGTAGCTGTAGTATCTTTGCCGGTGTTTCTCTCTGTATGCATGCTAAACGGCCACACTCATCAGGCAAGGAAGTCCAATGTTCTTGTAGCTCTGCCATATTAATAAACCACTCACGACACAATGAACAGACAAAGCGGTGCAGTTTACTGTGCATTTTAACTTTATGTTGATTCAATTGATAGAAGTCGTGAAATTTATGATTGCAAACCTATAGGAGATAGAATATTAGCTTCTTATGTGATAGTCATTGCTTAACTGCATGCAATAATAAAAAATCGACCTACATTGCATTTCAATTGCCTAATATCATGTTGGTCAAATTCATGTTGCTCACAATCCTCTAAAGATCCGAACCAAGTGTCACAGGTCTTTCTTACACAAAACATACGATTCAACTTATGCTGGGCCATGTGGTGTGCGTAATGTGTATCTTGAAAAGAGCGTTTCATGCAAAGTTTACAGATGATGGATTTCCGGGTTCTTCGATTACGTTTCGCTATATACTGCGGTAAGGAAAAAATATAATGGAATTACTTCTAGTGTATGCACATTTTTTACTACAAACAATTAAACTTACATCAGCTTGGTAATTGGCTTGCAACTTTTGCAAAAAGGCTAACTCATGATTTTGTTCTATCGAGTCGGAGGCGCTTACAGTTATCATGTTTTCATGCTCCTGCACCACTTGAAAATCTGCACCTATGTAATTTGAAGGTTCCTGAGGTTTGGTTGTTTCAGAAAGCTGTTCGCAAATGTTAAAACTATCGGCGGGGGCATAAGCGAAATCATCTTCAGGTTCAGCTATAGGACAAGTCAAATATTAGAGGTGTAAAAAGATATCACACAAGCGCTCCTTGAATTAGTAAAGTGGTGAAACATCATTTTTCGATTTGAACAAAATTGGAAATTTTTAGATATAAAAATATGTGCGCATACAGTCATCAATAAAGTTTAGGTACAGCGAATGTTTTACAAGACGGGCAGCTATTTTTTTAATATTTTATTTTTCGATAATTTTTTATAAAAATATGGTTAATTCTACAACAAAAAACAAAAAAATTAGAGTTCCAAACCTTGTGCAAATTTGAATGAAATTTTGCAGAATTTTCTTTAATTTTGCACAAGGTTTGGAACTCTAATTTTTTTGTTTTTTGTTGTAGAATTAACCATATTTTTATAAAAAATTATCGAAAAATAAAATATTTAAAAAATAGTTGCCCATATTGTAAAAAATTCGCTGTACCTAAACTTTATTGACTGACTGTATGTATTTACAAAACTGCAACTATTTTAAAAATTCGTTAGATTTCGCGAGTCGAACATTAAGTTAGGTATGTATTGGCGATTCAACTTTTATAGTATGTATGCACGAGTATATGCCAAATACAAATAAAAGTTAGTATTCGATTACGTTATAAAATTTTGCTATACTATTCATATGTATGTGAATGTGTGTAAAATAAAAGGTGCAATCCCGTATTCCTCGGACTCGGACTAGTAAAACTGTCAAAAAATAAAAATTCGCTCAGAGCGAGAGAGTAACATTGAAAAGTACGGGATCGCTTTCTAGTAAAAAATGGTAACTTCTGTCAACTTCAACATAACCTCCAAATTTTGGTTGTAAATTTTTGTTTATTTTGTATGTAAACACACTCAGCTCACACATGTAAATAACCAAAAATACTTTCAAATTCATTAGAATCCAATTAAACAAGTAACTAAATACTTTTCAACATGAATCAGCCGAGTGCACTTTTTTTTTGTTTACAATTTGTTTGCCAAACACACTACAGCTGATCGTTTCACACATTTTCCAGAATTTACCAGCAAAAAATTCTCGGACTAAAACTGGTAACTTCTGACAGAGAGAGAACCGTAATTATTCTCTTTTTTGTCCTCTCAATA